TGTTAGAAATGTAGGCCATTAACATTTACATATTTATCGAACGTTTGTCTAACATTGCACTGGAAAATTGTCAGTATTTTTATATTTACAGAATGTTGCACGAATTGTTCATTTTGCATTTTGTCACGATTAAACAAAATTTGTAAAAATACTTTAAACAAATGTTTTTAGAATTTAAGAGAGTTACTTAAAAATATAGATACTTATGTCTTATTTCATTAAAAAAAAAAAAAAAAAAAAAATTGAAGGTAGCCTTTCTCTCTCATTGGTGGAAGGGGAAACAGTGTCAGGAAGCTTGTTAAAAATATACAGCAAGTCGAAATAAATTTTGCCGCCAATTTTAGTAGTCTTGAGGATAATATTAGATCATCCTGAATAAGCCGTTCATTTTGAAAAAGACAACATTGAAATTAAACATTTTTATTTAAAATAATCTCTTTCCAATATCTTCTTGTTGCCTAAATCGTTTTTGTAAATTAATTCCGAAATAGATCACAAAACTGTGAGCACGATTTTTTTCGGGTGTAAACTAAGGTTTGAATCGGGGAGATCCGTTTGCGTCTCTCCTTCTATTAGGGATTCAGATTTTTACGTACACAGAATTAACTGTCTTGTAACACGTTGACAAAAGTGTATCGAACATTATGGAAATTATTTGAAATAAAAATGTTCCACTTCAAGGCCGTTACGTCTTTTCAAAACAAACGGCTGCAAACTGCGGGAACTTTCAGGATGATCTAATACCTCGTAGTAGTTTACTAGATATCAACTTTTGTTTGCGATTCAGAAAAGCGTTTTTTTTTTTTTTTGTTTTCGCATATTAGCTTGTTTTAATTGAAATTGTATAAACTTAACATCTGAGTCGCTTTCAAATGAAATTACCGTTTGTTTGAATTGTGTTTAATAGCGTTTCCATACAACGTGAGCTGTGAATCTAATCGTTTGACAAATTTTCACAGATGGCTGGAAAGCCGAACACACAAGCTTTATACGCTCAAAGCCAGTTAGATCATATGTGCGCTCTGGACATTGAAAATCATGGGTCGTTTGTACGTCTTTCCGGAATTATTTGCACGATCGGACCGGCCTCTAGATCCGTCGAAACTCTCGAGAAGATGATCGAAACTGGTATGAACATCGCTCGATTGAATTTCTCCCATGGATCTCACGATTACCACGCCGAGACTATTCGTAATGTGCGACAAGCACAGAAGAATCTTTCCAGCCGTACTGGCATTAATGTTCCTGTAGCAGTTGCTCTTGACACCAAAGGTCCTGAAATTCGTACTGGACTCTTGGAAGGCGTAAGTATTATATTAGCCCGTTCGTGTATTTATATTAGGTTGTGTAAAAAGTCCGTTCGCGTTTTTTCACAAGAATATAAAGTTTGGTCATTTTAATATCAGACTTACCTAATCAATGAGATGTGTACCATTTTGTTGTATGACCTTTACCCATCTGTTTGGTAACTAAAATTTGTTTATTTGCTACCTGTCGTTATATGTATTAATTATTTATTATTTTACCAGGGTGGATCTGCTGAAGTGGAGTTAGTTAAGGATCAAACTTTCAAACTGGCTACCGATAAATCGTTCATGGAGAAAGGCAATGCAAGCGTTGTCTTCGTGGATTACGAAAACATTTCCAAAGTATTGAAAGTTGGAAATCGTGTTTTCGTTGACGATGGTTTGATCTCCCTCATTGTTACCTCAGTTAGTACGTATTATTTACACTTCTTTATCTTCAGTTCAACTAGAAAAAGAAAAAGAAATCTATTACACTTTTCAATATATCTAAAAAATGTCTCAAGTTTGTTAGATTCCAATTATTTGTCAAAGAAATAAGATTTAATTCAAGTATTAAGATTTCTATTATTAATAAGTATATTATTACACACAGAAATTTTATAATGCAGACTATGATATATACATGATACAAGGTATCCCAGTTTTCTCTGATCAAACTTTGTCGGTATCTCCTAAATTAACAAATTTCTTGACTTCAACGACTGTCTTGTTTATCTTCAATTTTTCATATCTAAACTATCTAAATATATATACAGAGTGTCCGTGTTTTTAAATTTGTTCGTATGTTTTATTGGTATAAGTAAGAAAAACAATGTTGCATAAACATAGGTCGTTTGAAGCTTCATTAGAAACTTATAACAAAAATATGATACAAGACACGAATGGCATTGGCAAAGGTACGTTGAACTCCTTCAACAACCTCAAATCGTAAACACGGTTCACCTAAACAGACTAGATGTACATATCGCTGATCTATTCCTATTTTGTATCATAACCGCACATCTGTTACCCATTCCTTTCGTATTTCGTATTATTATTACATCTTTTTCATAAAGTTTCAAATGACCTATATTTATACATTTTTTTGTTATTTATAGCCATAGAACATATTGACAAGTGTGATCAGAAAAAACTAGGACTCCCTGTATAAATGAGTTATTAGTTGTAACAGATAATTTATTTGTGTTTAAACATTTAGGTTTTATCTAACTTGCTGAATATTATTAATAAATTTTCATAGATAGTTGGCTTTAATATAATAATGAGAGTTTAAATATTTTTACTCTTATTACAAACTCATATTGAAGGAACCAAATATAGAATGTCATGGTATTTTTATGAATGATTACTAATTATTAATACAAATGGAAATGATACAAAAATTTGATAATTTCAAAAATTACAATATGTTACAAATTTTCTTTTTATGTGTTTCAGGTCCGGATACGATTGTGACTACTGTTGAAAACGGTGGAATGTTAGGTTCCCGTAAAGGTGTCAATTTACCTGGTGCTCCAGTAGATCTACCAGCAGTCTCTGAAAAAGATAAATCTGATTTGAAGTTTGGCGTTGAGCAAGAAGTCGATATGATCTTCGCTTCGTTCATAAGAGACGCCACAGCTTTAGCAGAGATTCGAGGAATCCTTGGTGAAAAGGGCAAGAACATTAAAATTATATCTAAAATTGAAAATCAACAAGGTATGACAAACCTTGACGCGATTATCGATGCTTCTGATGGCATTATGGTAGCCCGTGGTGATCTTGGTATTGAGATTCCGCCAGAAAAAGTATTCCTGGCGCAGAAATCTATGATTAGCAGATGCAATAAAGTTGGAAAACCTGTAATCTGTGCTACACAGATGCTTGAGTCTATGGTGAAGAAACCACGTGCAACTAGAGCTGAAACATCAGATGTCGCAAACGCTATCCTTGATGGTGCAGATTGTGTCATGTTGTCAGGTATAAATTATTTAGTTACTATTAATAAAAAATTATTTACATACAAAATAATTTAAAATTGTGTGGCATAAAGTATGTAAAATTCATACAGTTAAAATTACTAGTTCAAATAAGTGTGATAAGACACTAACAATATTTCCTATTAAAACGAAAATTGCAGTTAGAGCATTTTAAAGATTTATTTTTAAAAAGAAATATAACAAATATATTAAATGACTTAAGTATTGTGCATTGCACTGTACGTTACATTCTTATAGACTTATATTTGCACCAATATTTAATACTTATTAATTAATTTAATATATTCAGGTGAAACTGCCAAAGGAGATTATCCACTGGAATGCGTGCGTACAATGGCTAACATCTGTAAAGAAGCGGAAGCTGCTATTTGGCAAACAGAGACCTTCCGTGATCTGTCAAGCAAAGCGATACCTCCAATTGATGCTACACATGCCATAGGAATTGCTGCTGTAGAAGTGTCTGTGAAGTGTTTAGCTAGTGCTATTATAGTTGTTACAACCACTGGTCGCTCTGCACACTTAGTCGCAAAATATAGACCACGCTGTCCAATTATTGCAGTAACCAGATTCCACCAAGTTGCACGACAAGCGCATCTGTACCGTGGTATTTTGCCGCTTTATTATGAAGGTAAGGAAACATGTTAAAAAGTTAATATATAGCATTTAGTAAGTAATATAAAAATAAAATTTTTCCTTAACAATGATGTGATTGTAACTTGCATAACGGTACACAATAATTATTTCAGCATTACAGAGAAATTTTTTTCTTTCTTATGTGCAGAGGCACCATTGGCTGATTGGGTGAAGGACGTTGATGCGCGTGTTCAGTTTGGATTGAAATTCGGCAAAAGTCGTGGATTTGTTAAAGCTGGAGATGCAGTCGTAGTGATCACTGGATGGAGACAAGGCTCAGGATTTACAAATACACTTCGTATTGTGTACGTAGACATAGAAATTCCTCCAGATGATGATGCATGCTCTATACGTAGCGAATCCGATAGCTATGATTATATCCTTTAATTTGTGCACGTTTAACATGTATAATGTATTAACATTATTTATTAGCTTGTTTTGAATGTGCTTTATAGTAATAAAAATTTATCTTAAGTGTTTTAGATCTTTAGGTCCAATTAAAATAACCAGGTCGCGTACTTGACCTTTTTTTAATGGATTTTTCCATTGCTGTAAATTATAAGTTTTGTTGCTCATTGTTATATTTTGTTGTTTGTTACAATAGTAAAGAATACTTTCCCAGTAAATAAAAAGATGATATAAAGAATTTCATTCTGCTCATAAAATCGGAAAATTTTGAAGTACTATTGCTTATTTCTGTATTGATAATAGAATAATTTGTTATTATTAAATAGAACGTAATGTTTTAAAATAAGTTTTCTGAGTAACCTATTTAAAAAATTGTTTCTTTACCTAATGCAATAACTTTACAGATGAACAATTAACATTATTTCAGCATGGATGTAAAAACATTAATTCTGTATTGCATGACCCATTTCATTCTAATTTCTGCTTTTTATTTTTATGCACTAATTTATCTAACATGCACACTAATTTACATGGTATATTACTATTGCACTTTTTTTGACTTTATTTGTTTCTCCTAGCCTTCTTAAATTGCTATCCTATTTTATTATTTTTGCATAACATATATCTATCAGCAATTCTTTCATGTTTGTTTTTTTTAATGTTCCTAGACTCTTTATACACAGAGCATATACATACATTTTTCCTGGCTCATTTTTTCCAGTATTTGTTATTTTTTTTGTATATTTTTACATCTTATCTGGTCATTATTTTTTATAATAATTTAGAATTATTAAGCTAAGGGAAGGAATAATATAATATTTTTTTTCATTTTTAAATAAGCATGTATTTTCACACAAACCTTAATGTGTGTAAAAAAAAATAAAGATTTAATATATTCGCCGGTAATTATATTATAAATAATAATTGGTAAATTATGATTGCTAACGAGTTATTTTTAATTTCACTCGTATTATTAGCTCAATATGATTGTAGATATATTATAAAATTAAGCGTGATGAAACAATATTTTAGTTGATTATTGTAAATTATATTAGTTAAAAAATTAAGTTTTTACTTGATAAAGAATGTGTTTTGCGATAGATACATCGAGACTGTGAATGCATTCAAATGTGGCTGGCTAAAATTATGTTATTTTTTGTATTTTTAACTGTGACAGCAAATTAACCCTGCATTTTGTTTTATTTTTATAAATTTAATAAGGAATACAATATATATTTTAATTTTCTTCTTTTTAGGACGGTTGAATAAACATACTGGCTGGATTGTAAAGAGCAGGAAACATTAACTAACTGTAGATTTTGAAAATTCAGTATGTATGTAACTTATATTGTATGATGATGTATGATGAATTTAGTAAATTCATTGAAAGGGTAACAATTTGAAGATGCCAGTAGCTGCAGTATTATTGCCATTACAACGTACCTATACAAATACAGCACATCAAAATATATGTGTGTACGCACATATATATGTATGTATATATATTCTTGTATACATACATACATATACAGATATGTACACATATATACACAAAGTTATGAAATAATAAAGTAAAATAATTATTTTAAACAGTAAATTATTGAAACTTGAATTATTGTTTGCTAGAAAAAACAGTATGCTTGATTCTTTAATTTCTGTAGACAAGATAAATAAAACAATTTATTTTATTTTAATATGTTTTTTATTATTCCTTCAGTTTGTTAAGTAAATAATTAAAAACTTCAAGGTAAAAGCACTTAAATTTTATGAAATAATCATAATTTAGATAGGAGAAATCATACTGAATATAATTTCGTATTAATATAATCGTTATAATTTCAAGTGCATTTAACAGATTAAAAAGTAGTATAGTAAACAATTTTTAAATAATGTTTTTTAGGTATTTTGATAATTATCATTTTGAGTAGTCTTTTATTTTGTGACTGTAGCGAAGTATTCGTTAGTAATAACAAATTTTATTTGCATACATGTATTCATTGTTTAATGTCTAGTCACAAATCGAGTTCAATTTCCACAGTTACCGTAGTCGATATAATGAACTATCATTCTCATATTATATATTCCTCATGGAAATTCCGAATAACCTACTACGACATATAACTCTTGCAATAAATTTCTGTCTAAGTGTGTAACAGTTCAAAAGTTTTCCGTATATA